ATTTTAAGCATAGCTGTTTTACTGAGTGCAAGCACTGAAATGCAGTTTTTATCCAGGGCCATTTTAAAACATGTCTGTGTCACCAAGTTTGGCCACTGACATACAGTGTTCTACCTGGGTCATTTTAGCATGGTGGTTTTACATGAGTGCAGACACTGAAATGCAGTTTTCCACAGGCTGTATTAAGCATGGCTGTTTTACCACAACTAATCACTGACATACAGTGTTCTTTCTTTTGTAACAAGATATGTGCACATTAGATGGCATTAATACGCAAATTAGTCACCATGTTTGGACATTTAACTGTTTGGACAAGTACTGTTACCACAACATTGTTATCAAAATGCTGAATTATATTGATACAAATAATTAATATTTTCAATCTCAGAAAAATGGCCAGACAAAATGTGTGAACAAACAGGTGGATGGATAAATCATTTAAACAGCATTTCAATCACAAGTTAACAACTATATAATTTGTATAATTTTGTTCGTTTTTATGGTTCAAAATACACTTACAGGTCCTCTTAGGGCACTTAAATACACTGTTATGACATTTGAATGCCTGTTATGTGATAGAAACTATAATGGTACTTTAACACAACAATGCGTTTTGTTCGTAGATAACAGTAGTTGAAATGTGTTTTTAAGTTACCTTATTTTCTGCGGCTTCCTTAGAGAGATTGGCAACAGCAACATCATGGCATTCAGAAATACTATACAGATTCAACAACTTTACCTTGGGTAATATCTTTCCAACTCTGTCTCTTAACGCGGTGGTTACTACCTCACCACAGAACCAAATCAACCTGTGAATCAAAACAAAATAGAATTGTTCGTTTCATCAAGATTCTCTAAAAATTATTTAATTTATTATAGTTGTCAAATACATACTAATATTATACTTTTATATTAACTATATCACAACCAACTTAGTGGTCATTCTTGAGAAATTAATTAAATGCATTAAATACAGTCCCTTGTTTATTTTTGTTGTTTTTTCCATAAAATAAAATGTTACGGGAGAGTATAAAAGACCAAAGCTGAGTTACAGTGAAGAAAAACAAGGAACTTAATCTCAAATAGAAACACACGTAAACCCAAATAGCATTTGTTGTAAACCTGACTTATTTTAATCATATACCATTCATATTCCAAGCATGTACACAACTAATACTAGTGAAAGCAATTGCAGTTATTTGTCGGGTAACTGTGCACATACCTGAGGTAGCTAAGACCATCAGCTACATCCAAATTCTCAGTATTAATAACAGTTTCTAATAAAGATGGTGTAAACAGTATTCTGGTGATACGATGTCGCTTTAAATAACTCACTAACAATGCCGGATCATAGATTACATTATCTGGTATGATATACATCGGAATACCTGATATGAAAATAAAATTTAATAAACCTGATTTCCATTTGGTGAAACAAATCTGATGTTAACAAATATATAATAACAACATTTATTCTTGAGACTTTATCTTATTACAGGTATATATATACAACCAGTACCACCCCAGGGTCTATAGCACCAAGAGCCAAATGATTTCCAAGACTTTTCCAGACCTTTTCCCAAACTTTCTATCATTTTTCCCAAAGACATTTTGACCCTTAATTCAGGCCAACACCATCACTAAATCTTATCAAAGTTCTGAGGATATGGTAGTTCCCTGGAGAAAACAGGCCTTTCTAAAATGAATTAATAATTTAAAGGAATTTAAAGACTTTTCAAAGATTTTTTTATTTTTCCTGTAATTTAAAGACAATCTAAATATTTTCCAGACCTCAAAAAATTCAAAGACTTTCAAAAGATTTTCCCAATGTTATGGACCCTGCAACCTTTGGTACTAAGATGAAGCCAGAAAGTAAAACACTCAAGTTATATAAGTTTAGTCTGTAGTTACATGTACAATCAGGTACATTTAGTGATTATTTTTTCATATATATGCATACTTTATATGTTCAGAATTTGAACATGTCTGCAGACAATTATTCAATTATGGGATATCATTTAATGATACACAGACTGGACTAATACAAGAGAGCATAACATCCCGGATGATTATTAAACAGACAGTGAATGGGGAAAGTGTTTATACATATGTACTGTGATGGAGACTAATACTTGAAGAAGTTAAAAGTCCCATAGCTTGTACATACTGAAAAAATACAAGTAACCATTCTGCATTTACCTTTCAATATGGATCTTAACATTTCCCATACAAAGAAGACATTACATGCAACTCTTTCATCAGATTGAAATGGATAGTTGGTATGCCTCCAGTGGTAAGAGTACACAGCGCCTCGATGGGGACACATTATACCTGTAATGATGCACATAATACTAATTAATTAATTAATTAACAATACAAATTTGTATTCTGATTTAAGGATGTTCGATACAGTTTGATTTTTGTGATATGTACATGTTAGGCTTGTACAAGGATGGACATATGCCAATTTGTTGAAACTGAATTTTCTATCTCAAACACATTTTTATTTTCTCATCTTATGTATTCAGTATTTATATTTTTGAAAAACAAAAGAAATTCTCAATGTTTTTAGAAAGTGTATACTTTATTATGATCTACAGTTGCTACATCACAAGCACTTCAAAATGGAAGTTAAAATTATTAAAACCTGAATACCATTTAAAAATTGACATGACACATTATTTTTATTTGTCTAAAATGTTGTTCTCAACAAACCCCATCGGTACCAGAGTTTCAAAAAAATTACAATGTTTTTTTAATTTGAAAGTCATGTTTTACTTTTTCTTCACAAGTTAACTCCTTAATATAAATTAAAATGCAATTTCTTTCAAAAGGTCAGTGACTCTTGTTTTTTTATTATTGCAAACATAATAGATTAATCTTCCAGTAAAACCAAAATGAAAAAAATTCTCAAAATTTTTGTGAAACTTTGCTGATCATCCTTTATAATATCTTGAACTGTACAATCTTAATCACACTTCTCCGAGACGGTTTCAAAATTTTATTAACCAGGTTTATTTGTCTGTAAAAAGTAACACACTACAACAAATAGGTAATTTTTTGTTTACAGCGAGGTCTCACATAATGTGGGAAAGACGTGGATCAAACTTTTGCCATAAAAATTTAACGAGTTGATTCTGCATAATGTGTGAAAAACATGGATCGAATGTCTTTCGTAAAAATCAAACGACTTGATTTTGAATTTCTTTTTTAATAGCTCAATGTCAAAACACCTATCTTTCAGAAAGGAATATGGCATTGTGTTGTATATTCTTACCTTATTAAAATTAAGCATCATCTTGTGTGTATAGCACATTATTTAAGCATGGAATTACCTCAAAAATAGTTTCATATTTGTTGAATCCTCAGCAATGCTTAGATAAGAAAACAACCTTTGTTTGTTCAGTTTTCACGTTCGATTTGACGCAGGATCTTGCAGTGAGTGAAAAATAGTTATTATAATCAAAGGAAGCTGTAGCAGTTACCGAGTTACTAGCTGACTGAGAAATACATTTATATTTTACCTTTTGGTTTGCCTGTTGTTCCCGATGAATACACGACATATGCCAGATTATCCAGATGCACTGTGGGTGGAGAATCGAATCCACCATGCGTGTCATTTTCAGCTTTGAGGCGAGTCGACCAATCATCATCTAGGGTAATTATTTTCTTTGCATCTGACAAATGTAAATTAAAATTAATTTATTCAACAACAACAAAATATAGATAAACAAATATATGATAACAATACTATGATTGCGAATCAGATATAACATGTCTATACATTTTCTGTCTTTTTTTTAAATAATTATTTTTGGAGTAAAAATTAAAATTTTATATTTTGAGTAGTTGAATCATGTGGTGTTTTAAGTCAGCGATAACACATTTTCACATATCAAAAGTAGAGGAAAGATTGAAACAGAACACAGATAGAATCATAGGTGTCAATAACGTTTTATCAATATGAAGAAAAATTGGTTTATAGAATCTGAATGTGGCATACAAGTACTACTAGTATAAGAAAGTATTAGGTACACAGCTCTGAATTTTTTCTATTTCTACTCGTACCTTAAACTTAATTCATTGGGGGGTCACCTTGGTCCCACTCGCGTATCCCATTTCCATGGTTGGGCAAAGATTTCACCAACCTCCCATTTCAGGGTAAGACAGCTACATTCTGACGTCTTGACTCTGACCCTGGGGTATTCTTGATGGCCTTCTCAGTCTTCCTCCAGGTAGAATTCTGCTCACTTGAGGTTTGAGGGTAGAAGGAAGGCCCCTAACCAATTCGCATTGCATTTAACTTTTGTTTATTTTAATAATGTATTTTTTTTCCTGCCAAATTTGCATTTTGGTATTTTCATGGCAAATCATGTACCGGGTAATTAAATTGTTTTTAAATTAATTTTACTTTCACTGCATTTAACTTAGACCTGATTTTTGTAGTACATGTGTTTAAAAAATTAGTCAGTAAAGGTAATTCTCAGATTACGGTATAATTTTACCTTTGAGTTGAGTGGGTGCTGTATGATTTATTATGATGGCAGCAGGCTGGGAGTCTTCTAAGACAGATTCCAGTAATGGTGGTGGATAAGATACATCTATTGGTAGATATGCTCCACCTGAAATAAATCATTCAAATAAACGAATTACTTAGAGTAAAACAATTTGGTTAATCTAATAAATAGATGAAAACTAAAATATGTGGTCACATAAACTCAGATGATCTATAAATACAGTTTGCTCACATGTTATGTCTTGGCAGTGACTGTAACTGTAGTTTACTTTAGCTCAACAGGAATCTACAATACCAATGCCAATGACAAGACAGTCAATATTTTAAGGACACAAATCAACTTTAGACACCTTTTAGAAAACGAATTTGTTTTTTTTGTTTTTTTTTAAGTTGAAAAATAATGATCATGATCCTGGAAAATAATTATGTTTATTTTGTTCAATATTAGCGACGAAATAATATAAAAATAAAAAAATTAATTATGGCGTTCAACAAATCTTATGGATTGATATACAAGTAGATTAACATTATTGGTCAGAATGTACTTACACAACAAAACATAATACCTACCAGCTTTCAATATAGCAATGTATGACACTGTATAGTCAATACCCTTTTCCATATAAATGCCAACAATAGAATCTGCTACAACACCACAAATACGCAGATTGGTTGCCAGGCAATCAGTCAAAGAATCAAGTTCAGCAAACGTCAGTTGACTGCCATCATCGGATACGACTGCAACTGCATCAGGAGTCAACCTGGCTTGCCGTATGAACATATCATGGAGAAGACCCAACTGTTCATACTCCATCCTAAGAAGCAAAATATATATATACAGACTTGGGAAATACACAAAAGAATTGTCCCCCAAAAAATTCAGAGGATTAATTATTTGATACTATACGAGTACCATGCAAGCGAACGATGCAATAAACTGGTATATGTAGAAAACAAAATTCATGAAAGTATTCCAAAATGTCCTTGCTAACTTTAACATTCATGATATCTATCGGTAATTACAGGTAATTATGTTTAGATGAATAAACTAGTTCCGAAAATGTTCTAAATATAACTTTTAATAATCTCAATGAAAATGACCTAGTTTGGGAGAGATGCATGCATTGATCTAACACAGATTGTACAGCACTAATACAAAGACAAAAACATTTTTTGAATGTCGATAACAAATCTTTAAAATACTTGCACTTACTTGCTCCTTGCCTAATGATTGCAGAAATTTGCTCAGTCCAAATATAATTAGAAAGAGCAATGTATACTACGTACTGAAGGGATGTTCCAATGATGTGCCACGAAGGTACAGCACTGCTTAATTAAACATTAACCGAACAATGAGTCGCTGAGAATACAGTCCAATCACCTCAGCATGTCAAGGACTGTTTATCACATCAAGGCAATACAATTGTATCAACTACCAATGATGAACTTTGAACTATGATCCCAAACATGCCAGTGGTTGATTTGTAGAGCTTTATGTTCACATGCCTCCACCATCCACTAAACAAAGTATTAAATATTAAATTAATTACCCATTCACAAGTCAAATACCCTATAGATGTCAGATGCGAAAATGTGACATGTAAATTGTAATGTGCGCATTATAGCATTTGTAAGGTTAAATGCGACAGATTTTTTAAAATGCACTACTGTCAAATACTGGAATTTATTTTCGCTGTTTTCACAAAAAGTTTTTTCAGCAAAAATTAATTCTAGCTAAATTAAAGTATTTGACAGTATAATGCAATGCAAGTTAACATGGCGTCCTATGGTTAAATGAGAAAAAATACAAGCCTCAATCAAAGACCAAATCTGATGCTAAAATATGATACGTAATCTTATCATGTGTGCTAATTTTCAAAAATGCATTGCTGTTAAAATTTGTCACATTATAGCAATTAGGATTTAGTTTAACAGAAATTTGTACAATTCTGATTGTAATATGGATTTGAAATGAACATAATCACACACAATATGCTGGATTAATGGCTTTAATCAATAATCTAAAAAAACTGATTGCCATGTATCTCCCACTTGTTGATCCAACTAACATAATCAACCACTTTCACCTAAAAGAAACTACACATTTACACTAGAACTGACACCCATTAAAAATCTGCAGAAATTTAAATGATGTCAGTCTTTGTTTATTACCCACAGACAATATTAGGCAACGGACCCAATAGCAGTATTTGCAAAAAAAAGTACTTGTCCGCACAATTCGAACATTGACGTAATACTGAGTATGTTGTATTGCGGTTGACACTTGTATTATTCTGTATTAAGACAAGACACCAATGAAAATAATTTCAAGAAAGAAATCATGACAGTGGAATAGTATACAAATATGCAAAAACATAATTTGTATAATGACACCCCCTCCAGTATTGAGGGTCTGTGATATACAGTGTAGCATACGCTAGCAGACTCACTCCCCCATCTACATTACATAACTCCAAAAAAAATATCTCCAGAACTATGAGGCACATGAATATTCGAAGACCTAGTTTCAAAGATCATTATCTTATATAGCAACAGTGAAAAAATAGAACTCAAAGAAGAAACGAACAATGTGAAATGGCCAATCCTGTGTGAAAAAAAAATATTTTTAGCAGGTACATGTGAATGTCTATAATATAATCCCCTAAACAAATAAAAACATGAAAAATAAATGATCCGATTCTTTTATATCTCAGCTTTCTAAAAACATATATTGCCTTTAGCTGCATGCTTAATAACTGTGGGGAAAGTTCTAATCATAATTAAACTATTACTTGTTTTTCCCCTCTCGCTACCTTAAAAATTGCATTTTTGAATTTTTCTGCATAAACACTCAATAGCTCATCAGAATGCTGGAAAGCATGGACACCAGCAAATAATGCAAGGTAGAAATCACCCCATCTCCATTCTCGCACCGAAACCGACTGATGGCCCTATACCTCAATAATAATAATAATATTTAATAGTAGTATAGTGATTTTTCATTTTACGGATAAATAAAACAAAATTACATTAACGAACGTGACTGATAACTTTTACTATAAATACCTTTGCATCTCGTTGGCAGGCCAGTCACACTGGTTCTCACTATAAGAGGTTACGATCCCCCCTGCCAAATGCTAAGGAAAACTGAAACGTATATATATACATATTTACATAAAATATTGTCCACCTATGCGAATCTGTTGGTGACAGGTGCTACACTTTGCCCAAGGGTGACCTGGAGGTAGTTGTGGTAAAGGGTAACCTCATTCTCCCACGTCCATAGATTCCACAACCGGATGTAGTTTAAAATCTTGCCCAGGATAAATATATACATAATTAAATGACCATACACGTTGCCTTTATCAGGTGATACCTCACATTTGAGGTTGAGTTGGTGCAAGGTTTTTATGATCGTATGCCCTTACTGACGTCAACCAAACTTATTATGTGGGAAGTTGGCACCCAAGGCTGACAGGTACTACACCTTGCCCAAGGGTGACCTGGAGGTAGTTGTAGCAAAGGGTAACCTCATTCTCCCAAGTACAAAAAACTCCACAACCGGATGCAGTAGTATAGTATAGTATGTTCTATGGCCAATATACATTACTTTATAAACAAACAGACAAACAAATAAACAAACACTCTAAAAATATAAAATAAATAAATGGTAGACAAATGTTAAATATTAATACTAGTAGTTTATTTTTTGTTTTTTGTTAAAATATCATTTTATGAACTTTCCCAGGCTGTTGGTAATGAAACCATCATTTGAACTTTAGATTTGTTTGAACATGTTTTGTTCTGATAATGTTAGTAGACTATCATTATACAATGACAAAGTATTAATAAATTGTGTACGACTAGATATTAACCTTTGGTTCTTACAAACCAATAATGCATGTATTTCATCATCAATAGCCTTGTCTTCATACAAATTCTTTCTTCAAATTAATAATTGATAACTTATGGAATTAGATGAGGTATTTATATTATTGTCACCTGCATAAATATTATACTGATAGGTTTTGCCACACCTCTAAATTCAGTCAATTGTTCTAGTATTGTCATTTGTATTTCCCACCATCTATTATTCACTTAGCATTTGAGATGTCAGACTTTTTCCTTTCTTCTTGTGAATTAATCGGGAACAGAGTTTAAATCTTCACAACAAATACAGGGAGGAAAATCATTACAAACACTTAGTCCAAAATCTTTTGTTAAAACATAGTGTATTGTTTGGTGAATTCTAAATAGCGGCATGTGGCAATTAAGAGTCAGGACCGAGTCGACATGTGCCGAAACATGTGTATAAACAATCGTGACTGAGTTGACACATGTCAAAAACTCAATCTCAGCCCTTGGCACAAACTAAAATCATAAGAAACAGTTCTTTGAATCTTTTTTTGAATATCTTTAATAATAAATACTGTAGCACCAAATGGATATGATTTCAATAAAGTAATTATTATTGCCATCATATGTGTATGTTTTGGACAGCTAACAGATCAATGAATAAGGGCATGATTTTAGCAGTAGTAGTAGGTCCCAGTGTGTTCCCAACTAACGTGAACGCAAATGCTGTAATCCCTCTCCAAACATGAAAGATTAAAAATTCTGGCATGTTCCCATACTGTGAACAAAGCTAGAAATAACTTGAATGAATCATGAATGAATTAAGCAAAGGTGATCTACCCAGTTTACTATAAATTTCATTTCACATGTACTTCATTTTGATATTTAGAAAATAGCGAATTTGATATGGAAGTTAGTCGTCTGAATTTTCGTCTTTTCATATATCACGTCATAGCTATACCTTATACTTTATTAAACACATAAAATTCCACAGGAAGAATTAAAATGGTTACATTTACACTAAACAAAACTAGACTAAAACATTAAGACCAAAGTAATGATTAAAAAAAAAAAATAATAATAATCGAAATAAAAAGAAATAAAACAGCAATAATAAAGGTAGAAGAAACCATTGTTAAAAAGTAATAACAATAATAATGCGTTAATGCATTAAGGGATACAAATCTTGGAGCTGTTGCTGTCTTAAGTCAAGGGCAGGGCACGGATCTAGAAGTCGTACCTACAAACGAATTGGTGACGTCACAAAATACATGACCTTCAATCGGCGGCGTTTCCTCGGTATATACGAATTAGTATATACAAATTACAATAAAGATACTTAAGACATTACACATAAGGTAAAACAAATCACGTGACAATATAATGATAATAACGGTAATAACTAACTCACATGAAAGCCAATCGAAGTTGTCGAAGTACGAACACAGTTGACAGCTGCAGGTCACATGCAACAACAGACACGAGGATCAATGCTGCTCTCCAAATGGGTCCCTTCTTTTTTATTGACCCCCTAAGGATTGCTAATCCCCCTTTCTAACTCTTCCCCCCAAAATAATATATCGCCCCTTTTAGAATGTATTGATCCACAAATTAATGAATATTCATGAGCACAGAAACTGCTTACATCATGAATAAATTTGCATAAAGTGAAGGTACTCCTTCTGGAGTCCTGCTGAGGGCAGTTTTAATGAATTGTCCGAGTGTGCCATACCCATGAAACTGTTTAGTTAAATGGCCATTAAGGGAGTGACCGTTTAATATCATGGGGGAAAGTTGGAGATTTAAAAAAAAACATTTGCAAGCTAGACAAATAAATTGCATGCAAGGTGTTGCAGATAGAACATGTTAACACATTCACGAAAAATAAAAATGTACAGATAAGATATCGCAAAAAAAAAATTGCGTTCGGCGTACCCCCCCCCCCCCATAATTTAAAAT